TATTAGTTTGTTAAAGTTTAAATATATAATTTGTTACCTTCTGTTTTATGTTTATTGAAGTATCGGATTCATTTTCTTCCTTAATTTTAATATCATTATTAATGGGTACTTCATCATTTGTGTTTTGCAAATTGTCTTTTGCAATTTCGTTTGTATCTTCTTCTGATGCTGCTTTAATTTTGTCATTCTTATTATCAGGATTTACATTCTTTTTATTTTCTTTTACATTTTTAGCAGTACCATTTACTTCTGAGATATATTCAGTTTTATGTTCCTTAGATGTTGTTTCATCAATAGATACACATGTTCTTTTAGAAGGTAAAAGTAACTTTTCATCTTCAGAAGTTTCTTCTCGCAATCTTTTCTGTCCAGACGCATCAGCTTCTATAGAACTATTAGAAGTTTCCAAAGGTGGCATTTCATCTTGTAATTCCTTATCACTTTGATCAGATTCAATCATTCTTTACAAATTTATCTAAAATTTGAAACAGCTACATATAAATTAAATTAAAACAGAAATTTCAATAAAAGTATTATAAAAAACTGTACCCTTATATCAAATAAATTCTTAATACATTTCATATGATAACAAAGTTCTATGAAAACTAATTAAACTAATTACGTGGAATTTTATTTAAATAATCTTCAAGAAAATTGTTCCTACATTTAAAATGTTTTATATTAATGCCTTCAAAAATTTACTAACATAGGCAATAGTAGATACATATAATGAAAAAGTGGATATATCCCTTTTTGTAAAATAAAATACACTTTCATTTTACAAATTTATCAAGTGTTAATCAATTACTATTAATACACTGTGAAGTATCAACAAACAGTATTTGTGTTCGTTTAATTTTCAAATACCGAATATTTTAGAATACAACATATCAAAGTAAAAGTAGGAGAAATTACTAGAATAATAATATATAATAATTACCTTACAGAAACAAATCACCAAACAATATTCAACTAATTCTTTAATAAGCGATGATCGTAACGTTTGCGCGGCAAAATCTACGCGGTAACAACGTAGTCGCTATTGATTGGTTAAACTGTATATAGTATAGCACTAACATACAAGAAATATTTCATATTTTATACATATATTTTTCCGCACTATATATTATCTAACGTTTCGTTATACGTAATTTACATATCATGATCAATTAAAAATACTGTAAATTTAGTTTAACAATCGAAAATATTGAACACTGACACGTTTTTATTAATTCTTGCAACTATTTATTTTGTAATTTAATGCATTTCCAATATAACACATTAAAGTTGCATTTTCTTACATTTAAAAGTCTTTAATTTGAAATTAAATTCTCCACAGTGTAAACGAAATTACTACCTGTGCCATCAAATCGATGCATTCACATACATATGTAATTTATCCTTACATCAAGTTGCAATGCAACTTTATTATTGGTTTTAATTGTATAGTTATACATAATTTAAAAAATAATGAACTTACGTAAAATTAATTCGAATTTGTATGTTTAATTGTTGTTTGTTTTATTCTGATGTGCCATGACTATTCGTGATAATTACGTAAAAAAATGGATCACTACGTATATATATATATATATGCTCTTCTGCGTGCTGATGATGCATACACGTATGTATGCACTGGCGACTACAAAGTGGTGAAAATGAAACACAAAAAATATAAGAACAAATCTAAACACGAAAGAAAGAAATCAAAGAGAAAAGATAAACAAAGAGATAAAGAAGAAAAACATAATGAATCTGATTCAAGTAGTGTAAGTATTCAATATTATTATATATTCCGTGTTTTATTTCATGTTTTTTTAACCTTTTTAAATATTTTCATTATTTTTCTTACTTTTAATTGTAAAAATTATACAATTTTAGAGCACTAGTGAAGGGGAACAAGAATGGGTGGAAAAACCAATATCTCAAACCATAGTCACAAAAAAAAGTGTACATATGAAGTCGAAGGAAGAAGAATCTCTTAAAAGAGAGGATTGGATGAACATAAAAAGCGTATTTCCTTGTGTATTTAATGAAAAGAAGACAGAATCTTTTAATTCTAATAAAAATGCTAGCAAATCTGATTTGGATAAATTGGGTCAAAGTGATAGAGAATTAAATCCATATTGGAAAAATGGTGGTAGTGGTCTTCCAGAAGAAAATTCAACAAAAATAGAACAAGTAATGGATGTGAATTGGCTAAAAAGAAGTCTTCAACGTGCAAAAGAACAAGCAAAAAGTGAGAATAGAAGTTTAGAAGAAATTGCAGCTGTGAGATGGGGTGTAGGTATAGTTTTATTACATGTTTTTGAAATACCTATATTTAAAATATAAAGTGATACTAATATGACATTAATTTTTATAGTCTTTAGAAGTGATACAGTCAATGATATCCAAAGCTGAAGGTACATCAATAAAAGATAAATGGAAGCATAATTCAAACACTACTAAAGAATCAAAGTTTGAAAATCAATATAAAAGCACTAAAAATTCAAACAGAAATGATCAATATAAAAGACATGACAATTTACATTATGAACATCAAAGAAAACAGGAATACAAAAAACCCACAGATGATAATTGTTTTAATAATACTTCGTATAAATCAAATCATACCAATAAAAAAAATTGGCAAAAGAGCAAAATGTCAGATAAAACTGAAGAGAATCAATTAAATTCAAATATGGTGGTATTAAAAAGCATTTCTAATGATAATACAAATGACACAGAAGTTAAGGAAATTAAATCCCTAACAGAAGCAGAAATGAATAAATTAGGAGCAAAGATTGTTAAAGCTGAATTAATGGGTAATACTGTAAGTTATACATATTTTATTTTTGTATTACACATACGAAAGATATTAGGAAAGTGTAAATATTTGTTATTGGTATCATAGGAAGTAGCTGAAAAACTGAAGATTCAATTAAAAGAAGCTAGGGAAGCTGCAAAAAGTGTTCAGGTACACAATACAGAAAAGGTTCAGAATATAATACTTACTCAAACTGATGCAAAAGGTACATATTACATAAAAGTTCATTATACTTGAAATAGATGAGTTTTCAAACATTAGATATAATAGGTGTCACGAGACTATTGGAGCTCAGAAATCAACCTACAGAATTTTCTCAAAATATCAAGAGAAAGAATGCAGAAACGCACACTTCTGGAAAGAAGGTGCGCTATTTCTTTGATGATGATAAATATTCATTACAACAATTGGTAAGTGTCTATTGAGAAATGAAATGTTCTAAGTTAATAACATTAGATATTAATAAAGTCATTTTCTTCTTTTTAGTTCCAGAAGGAAAAGGGAAGGACAACAAATGAAGATGATGCAGCATTTATTAAGGTTGCTTCTAAGGTATGTAACACAAAATTTAATTTAAAGAATATCATAAAATGACATAAATAATAAATGTATAACATAATTTCTAGAATATGGATATGGATGAGATGTTTGAAGAACATATTACACGTGTTAAATTAGACGCAAAACAAGATGAGAAAGATCGTTCATTTGCTATTAAAGAACACAAACGTTTATCGAAATGTTTGGATACTTGCCGTTGGTGTATTGATTCCAAATACATGTTAAAACATATGATCATTGAAATGAATTCCGAAATTTGTTTATGCCTTCCTCAATATAGTTCTTTGACTGTTGGACATTGTATAATAACACCTGTACAGCATGTTGCTTGTCAGTTACAATTAGATGAAAATGTTTGGGAAAACTTAAAGGTAAAACATTTTTTTATATTGTTTAGTAATATTTTCTTTTTTCACAACTGTTTTATTTTCAGATGTTTAAACGAACTTTATATAAAATGTTCATGGATCAAAACCAATATCCTGTGTTTTATGAAACTTATAAGAGCCGTTACAAATTTACACACATGAAGTTAGATTGTATTCCATTACCAAAAGAGGTTGGTGAATTAGCACCAATGTATTTCAAGGTAAATACATAAATAATAAAACAATAGATATTTATACAATTAATACAAATAGCATTAAATTTTGTGTCTAATGTTTTTGGCAGAAAGCCTTATTAGAATGTGAAACAGAGTGGTCAATGAATAAAAAAGTCATCGACCTTGAACACAAAGATGTCCGTCATGCCATTCCAAATGGTTTGTCGTATTTTATGGTAGAATTCGAAACAAATAAAGGATATGCTCACGTTATTGAAGATGAGCATTTGTTTCCAAAAAATTTTGCAGAGGTAAAGGTTTCTAGGAAAAAATATTAAAGTACAAGTGATTATTTGATAAAACAAGTTTATCTAATATAATAAATTTTATTTATTATAGGAGATCATAGGTGGAATGTTAGATTTGGATCATGATGTTTGGAGAAAGCCAAAAAGAGAAAATCTTGATCAACAACGTGAAAAAACATTAAAATTTTTAGAAGTATGGAAGAAATATGAGTTTAAAGTAAAAAAATCATGATTGATTCTCATAACTAAAAGTTTAAAATACATAACTGTATATATGAATGCAATTTTTTTAAATATATTATCTTTCTATAAACATTTTAGTTCAGGTGTAAATGCATAATGTGACTATTAATAGAATAATCTTTAATGTAATGTTTCATTCAAATTTTTTATTCACAAATCCAGCTACTGGCACTTGTTTAAAATATTCTTTCAAAACAGATGGAAACAATGATAATACTTTGAAACGCGTTCCCATTTTATCTTCATCCATTATCATATGATATCCAGATTCTAAATCTTTTCTTTCTTCCTGTGAAGCATGTTGCAAAAGCATCTGCAACCTTACATCAATTCCAAGATTTTTTAAAAAGTTTGCTTGAGTCACTGGTCCAAATGTTATTAGTCTGTCATTTGTTTCTGCAATTTTTTTAATAACTGCAAAATCAACATCTGCTGTTAAATCTGCGGTACCTGGGCGTAATAATGGGTCGTGTACAGTATGTTGAAAAAATCCACGAAAGGTGTCAGTTTTATCGCCGTTGTAACCATAATCACAAATTAAAGCAAATCCACCACATTCCATCAAAAAGTCTGCTATATAATCCACTATTACCAAACTTTCTGGACTAATTTCAAGATGTTCTCTTTTTTCATCATTCTGCAAAATATTTATTTATTACTACATTTTAAAACCCAAAATATGTGAGAACTTACTGATATATAAAAAGTTGCAGGTGTTGATGTATTTGACAATACATAACAAAATTTTTCTTCATTGCTTCCTTGAATTATATCCACCAAAACTTCAGTCCATCCTCTGTCAGTTTTCTAAGTTATTACAGTTGTCTAATATTATTTAATTAACATAACTTATACTAATAAAATATTTTTCTACATTAATTCTAATTACTATACCTGAAATTTATGTATTGGTAATGCATCAAAAAATTCATGTGCTAAAAATACACTAAAATTCTTAGGTACATCTTTAATAGAATTGTACCAATATAATTTTATACCATCATCTGTAACACCTTCTCTATAATAAGTAATAAAATTTTCCTTGGGTTCATTTGTTTTTCTATCATGTTCTTTAATTGTTTTGCATAAATTTTTTGCTTGAATTAGAGAAAGAGTAGGACTAATTTCCACCAAATGTACTGAAACATTATCTAGCAATCGAAATTGTTTAAATACCTATACAGTAAAGATATATTTATGAAATAAATTTTTGAAATTTCACATATTAATTACTAAAGACATACCTTTAGTATATCTTTAACTAAAGTTCCTCTACCTGGACCTAGTTCAACAATTTGGAAAGCATTTTTTGATATTTTTTGCTTTTCATGTATTATCCAAATAG